TTCGATAGCAGTACAGGTGATCATGCAAAATGTAAAACGAACATCCGCGAATGCAGTAAATAAACTTTGATAATGGACCTGAGATTCCACGCTCATGGATATATGTTGTAGCAGAGACAGACCAGCTGAAACGTCGGGCGAACTCCCTGTTTGCTTCGAATTTTCCAATTGGCATAATGGGAGTATGTCTTTAGGACAGTGATGCTATCGTTAACCGTCCGGTATCCATATAGAAAAACCTCTGAAACCATCATTGCAACACGCATAATTACCAAAAGATAATTTAAATACATAATTCAGTTAAAAGTCTTCTATCAGTCCTACAGCTCGTGAACCTTGATTCGGCATATGGTGACCAAGAAAGATTACGACTAGCGCCCGTATAGCGATCATACCCTATTAATCAATATAGTCAACTGACAGTTATAGTATTCCACTGCTGGATGACATTTTCCTTGACTCCATATAAAAAAATAATTTTCTCCAAGATTCTTTGAATAAGGCATACTATGAATCGCCTGTACAGTTCAAGAGCATAAAAAGCCATATTATTGTGCTGCTTTATTTATTTGGACTCTTGCAAATGCAATGCGTAGTTTAATATCCGGAGAGGCGTTAAGAAGTTTTATAGACAAAATAAATGACAGGTAGGATTTTGGTTTATGTGCGAAAATGATCCCCCAATTTCTAGCCCACACATCAATGAATATACCCAACATCTGTAGTCGACTACCTTGTTTCATTATCGATGAAACTTGATTCATTAATCCATAATCATTGCTCCTAGAAATTTCTCCTGTTTCGATAAATCCTCCTAGAAACAAAGAACGTGGAAATCAGGACTTCAATTCCCAAGTATCCACACTTTATTTGTGAATTTCCAAATACCCAATTCATATGTGTTTTCCCAATATTGAAGATTTCAGAATGAAAATTTCAAAACACAAAATAAACGTGCAAAATTAACTGTCCAACTTCAAATCTGTTAACGAACCCGGCTCAACATGTCGGTAGAAAAAGTTAATTTTAAAATCATTGAAAAGGATGGTATTCACAATAATAACTTATGGTCACCTTAAAACTTTGAGTTTCTCTCTCAACAACAAGTGATTTAGAATTTCCCGATCAAGTGATCTAAAATTTTGTCACCTGACCCCTCATAACTACAAACCACAGTTTACAATAACGATCAGTGTTCTTCCTCCGCAAATCTTTTGTTCGTAACAGCTTTGTAAACCCAGTCAATCCAGAAATCAGGAATAAAGGAACACAAATATATATTTGAAAGATAGTCAATATTTCAAGAAATGTGTGACCTAAACTGGTTAGTTGTTGTGAGGGATATGTTTTACAGTTTAGTCAATCATGATATGGTGCGGATGTGCGACAAAGCACCTTCAGCTGTATTCAGTAAAGGTTGTTATGTCAGAATCAATGTTTCATTCACTTGTTGCAATCAACCACATGTTATAGGCTCATCAACTAGTTTCAATTCGAAAGAATTTTCTGACATTTCAGTCTTCAGGTTTTTACAATCTACCGTAGGTGCATTAAAATCTCTCAACATTAAATATCGACTACTTTGTGACTAAGTGTTTAAATAGTTTGGGAAGACCTTGTTTATCTCGTAGTTTATACTGTGATAGACCAAACCAGTCAGCAGCTCTCTACCTTTGAATTACAAATGGAAAATAACTAATTCGCACGTGTATGTTATCAATAACGGCAAATGGAATAGTATTTCTAATGAATAGAATTACTCCTCCCCTATGATTCTGAATTCTGTAGGCTCTTACCGATGCGAAACGTTTGAAATCAGGTTCCCAACTGTTTACAGACTTCGTAAGGCAGGTTTCTGTTAAGGCGATTCCATCCAGCTTGGTGGAGTTTTTCTGTACACCTATCCTCTATCTCTTGTTGAACAAGCTTTGGACGTTCGTCCAACAGACTCGAAGATCATTTAAATGTCTTTTTGCGACACCCAAAGTGGGTTAAGCATCATTCTTTGTCGAAGCCTCACTACTCTAAAATTCACAAATTTAAGGTTCCTTCTGTCATAATCTAGCCTTTATGTATAGATCTTTCTTCTCCTCCCGCCTTTTTAAAAAATCTGCGAGCGGCAAGCACTTATGGGCAAAAATCTCTGACTTCTTAAGTTTAAGTTTATTCTGCATTACTAAGTCCCTTTCACTAAGAGAATTAAATGTCACTTTTAGCGATCTGGTTTGATTTTTTTCTAAGTCCACTTGGCTACCTAGTTTATAAAGCTTCAGCAAAGCGATTCTAGAGGAATCCTGACGCACTAGCAAGTTTAGCAAATTTTCTATCAACCTTATGTTCAGCTCAAAGCGAATTCTACATTCTGAGCTTTCAGTCTCCTTGACTCTAAAAGACAGTTGACTTTTCATTATGTTTAGCCTTTAATTTATCAGCTATAGTTTGAAGGACTGCTTTTTCTTTAACAATATTAGGTCGTTTCTCATTCTTGATTTATACCTACTCATCAGTTTTCACTGGAGTAGCAATCACAGTCGCGTTACTTAGACTGCGAGATCTTGAATGATTGTCGATGACTTGGGTAGTCAGGTTGTTTTTTTGATAGAAACAGACCTGGTTTTACGACTACGTCTTCTAGATGTTTCTTGCTCGCTACCGTTTGGAGAGTGACGGAGAGAAGAAACTTACTTTCTTGAATTTTTATTTCTAACAAACCTCTTTATAGACCTTCTTCTGTTTGCCCATATAATTTTATAGACTCTGAGTTTAGTTGAGGTATTTTCATATTAATTCGTGTATCGACAACGTGAGCACCATTTTATCCATCTCGATTACGCTTGTAAAGATGCTTTTTAACAGCATTCACCAATTCAGTGGCTTCAGTTAGCAAACTTTTGCGTCAAAGCATCACTGATAGCACAAACACACATCCATTTGTACCAAATACTTTGAAAGGCATAGGTGTTAAATTCGTGCAATTTTCGTGGTACTATCCTTTGTACTCATCGCACTGCATGCCACTTTCAACAGAGTTTCAACAGCCTGGGTATTGATTTTTTTCCACTGTCCATTCATTAATCAAAGATTCTCAAAAAGAATCTATGCACAAACAATACCTAGAGACAAAAGAAACTGATGACCGGAAAAAGCTAAAAACTGTAAAATTTTCGAACCAAAAGTACAAATAAGTACGAAAAGAACCAATGTACTCAAAAGTACGGATGATAAATTACTTTCAAAAAAACGATATACTTAGCGATTACTTTAACTAAAATAAATTTAGTTAAAGCGAAAACAGCTGTCTTGATGCGTAATTAACTATCATATCAACAAAAATATTTCAGTAAGGAAAAATATCACCATCCTTTTCAAATGGCTTGTAATATTTGCTGAATGTTTCCCAATAAAATGCAACTAATATAAACTTACGAATAAGAATAAGGTTGATTACAAAATTATCAGTTAAATGAATTCCTTGGACGTCTACCGTATTTCTCATAAAAAACAGTTAATTTATCAGTGAGAATGTTCCCATGTTTTCGTCTGGGTTGCTAGCTTGTTTTAAAGTCTATGTAAATAACGGTGTGGCGTGGTGACTATGATTTTAATCAGCCTACTACTGACTTGCCATGTCATAAATCGTTAGAGTGTCTCCGATTATTCATGATTTAATTTGTTAAATACGGTTGGCTATCACCATTAATGCACTTTACATGTGACAAAGAGAAGTGATGCTAAACACGTCTGTTTTGTGATAAGTACATACCATTAAGGTTTACATTTTACACATATGGGCAGTTAGCTCCCGAATAATCTTTGTTGAGATGCGTCCTTTAGAGAGCTTTTCCTTTGCTAATACAGTGGTCATAGTAAGTTACCCAAGGTGCATTGATTCTCAAAGAGAATTAAGGTGGAACGCCTTATTATGTATTATTTTTCCATGGTGTAAATTCATCAAATACTTCCTACCTTATATTAAGTTTTTAGTATGTGACTGGAACCTCACTCATCTAGGGATTTCAAAACATGGATCATCCTTTCCAAAGGATATATCTCGCTTAAAATGTATTTCTTAACAATCAAGCTGTGTTCTTTCTCAAATCGGTTACACATGAATAATGTTACATAATTACCATATAAAAAACAATTTTTAATTAAGTTGATGATATTTCGCCTAATAGCTTAAATAATAAAGAATGCTATTGAAATGCGGTGTTATTTGATAGAAAAATGCAAACATTAGGACAAATAACCAGAAATGATTAACACAACCTTACAACTAATTCTGGTTTTATATAATCCAATATGTACGGAACAAAGGATGGAAATCCTCTAATATAACATGTAGGGTATTAACAACACGATAAATAGCCAGATTCAATTATTTCCTGATAATTTCACACAGTGAAAATGAAGTTCCATTAAGTTTTTTCAATAAATAACCTTGCATAACAACAATATTAATTAAATATTATATAATTTGAGCAAACTGTCTTAAAAGTGAAGACAGCAAAAAAAAAGAAGAGCACTAGAAATAAACAAATATCAGTGAGTACAACAAGAACCCAAGAAAATATAAGGGACTAATTAACATATATTCCAGCTGCATATAGACGCAAATGGAAATATGAAAATCCATAGAATAAATATATTAGAAAGCAATGCAAACAAATTATTGAAAATATACTACTAACCAGTAAACATATTACAATTACATCAAATATAGCAATATAATAACTAACACACAAATATAAACAAATAATAGAACAAACCAATAGGACACAATATCGCAAATATTATAGCTGAAAGAAGCGATTTTCATGACCCATGTCTATATATTTTCATGGATAACATGTGGGGAATAAGTTTAAATGTAGTAGTCATTACAATGTGACTAGTATATCTGCAGAAGAAAAATATGAATATTCCGAAGAACAGATGGAACACACGGAAAATGAGTAAAATAACTAAACTTTGATATAGAATATAACTGTTGATTGAGTGTATATTTTTCGTGTTTATTTTTTTATTTATAACACTAAGACACTAAGTAATTTAGAAGAATCATATGTAAGTTATTATTGCCACTATATCAGTGTGACAAACAAACTGAACACCAATTATCCGCTGTTACAACGTTGTAGGAGCAAAATATCACAAAAAACTAATTAATTTCTTAGTTTTTTATTAACTTCTTTGATGAGGTATATGACCACCGTTTCCCATACGAACTTGACGACGTTGAAAACCATGATTGATTAGTGGACCACGGCGTAAACATTTGGAACGTTGAGAATCAACGCATAGGTTTGTATGATTATTTTGTTTACGACAAGCATTCCAGCGTGCCAACGCTTGACGTGTTCCATTGGAATTTCTAGCGGAGGACTGATGTATATGACCAGGTCGTAATCCATTACGTGGATGAGATTTTAATATTTCGGTTTTTGATGTTATAGGAATTACTGTATTTCCAGGAGTAGTCCCAGTTAAATGTTTGTTCTTTGATGATTTATTAGCATTTTTGGATCTTACAGGAGGCTCATTGTATCTGTCCAGACTACAATGAGAGCTATAGCAGTTATAATCACTGTTTGCAGAAGGTGAACGAGATTTATATTCAAGTTCAGTGTCTGATCGTCGACCAGCTATCGAATGTGGGCGACTTGGATATCCATCATCTCGATCGAATTGCATGAATGACCAATCAGAACCTACAAAACAATGATAGAAATTGAAAATGGTTAACAACTATTAATAGTATCTAATAAGACTTATGTAATGATATAATTAGACTTTAAAAATTATTTTGACTATTTTGAGAAAAACTAAATCGAACATTTAGAATCTAAGCTAATCCGTGACTTAATAGTTTAGACTCACTCTCTCTCTCTCTAGACTTTCAAATAAATAATAATTTCAAATGCCGATCCTTCTGTATCAATTTTCATAGATGGGCAGTTTCGTTTTTTTCTCATACAACAAGGAGGCCTTAAATTTAGGTAGCCAAATTCATAGTTGTATAAATAACGAAAGACAAATAGTGTCACCGAAGAATGATGAAGACAATTAAGCAAAGAAAATTTTCTTCTGGATTATCTCATTCACTAAAACTATACGATCGTATTTGTAATTATTTTATTTGACAAAATAGTTGGTTGATGAATTAAGTTACATTTTAATTTAATTTAAAGCGACACTAAAACCATGTAACAGCACAGTGTACTATATAGACCACCAGAAGTTTTAAGAGAAATGGCAAAAACATTTGTGACTACGGAATGAATCCATTCATCACTGAAGTGTACAACAGAACACTGATTATTATCTAACAACTAACTTTCATCTAATAAGGTTCTGTTAGATTTCGAACTGTTCAACAGTAACATCATAAACTGCTTTTCATAAAATAAACTTCAAGAAACTTTATGATGTGCATTTCCTCAAAAATCCACAATACATTTTAACAAATATCAATAAATGATAACGAAGTTAAACATTAGGCTCCATAACTAAACACATTAAAATATAATTCAAAAAAATATTATATCAACATATATACTGTTAAAAACGAAATCTGATTACACATTATTTACATTAAGTTCAGAAACTAATAAAACCAAAATAAACTATCATATAGTAAGCATAGATAAATTTTATTAAATGGTAGCAACCCGCACATCTAGGAACTGGACATAATCCCATCTGACTGGACTCAATCACTGATTGTGCCAGTCTATAAGAAAGGACAAAAGTCCTCTAGTGACAATCACAGAGAAATCAGTCTGACTAATATAGTGTCTAAAGTATAAGCTTTAATAATACTTCGACGCCTGACCAAAGCTCGTGAAGAGAAGAATCGAAAAAACCAGGCTAGTTTTCGACCTGGACGTGGTTGTATAGACCAGATATTCACACTACATCAAGCTCTAGAACACAGACACACATACAGACGCCCCACAATCGTAGTACTTCTCGATCTCAAAGCAGCATTCGACTCTGTCGATCGTAAGGTTCTATGGCAGTGTTTGTCACTGAAAGGAGTACCAAAAAAGTACATTAACCTTATACATGCTCTCTACTCGAACACAACTGGTAGAGTGAGAGCTTATGGCGAACTGTCATCGGAATTGATTACCTCAAGTGGTGTTCGTCAGGTCTGTCCACTCTCTCCATTCTTGTTTAACTTAATCGTAGACGTGCTTTTAGAGATAACACTTTCCTCATCTAAATTTCCAGGGGTTGAACTTCTACCGGGAGGTTCACTTGTTGACTTAGAATATGCAGATGACATAGTTTTATTTGGTGAAGACGCTGACAATATGCAGAGTCTTCTGACCACTCTAAGCAACAATGCAAGCATGTTCACCTTGCGATTCTCCCCCCGAAATGCAAAATGTTGCTTCAGGATTGGGTTGCATTGACACCCGAACTAATGATAGGGAGTGAAGTAATTGAGCGTGTCGATCGCTTCACTTATCTTGGAAGTCTCATCAGCTCTTGTGGTCTGGTGTGTGACAAAATCTCAGCACGGATACAGAAGGCTCGACTAACTTTTGCCAACTTGCGTCATTTATGGCGTAGGCGAGATATTCGTCTATCAACCAAAGGACGTGTTTACTGTGCAGCAGTTCGTTCCATCCTACTTTATGGCAGTGAAACATGGCCGCTAAGAATAGAGGATATTTGTAGGTGTAGACTACCTGGTTGGGGAACACGAGATGATAGCAACTGATGGTTAGAGACCCCGAATGACATAGCTCAAAATCGTTTGCAATGACGCAGGTGCATACAGTCTTTGTGTTCTCACAAATCCTAACCTTCTAAATTCTTCATGTCCCTTTATTTCCTCTTTTCAAATTTATTTCACTGGATTATACTCCTTGAATAACATCTTCAAACCTTAATGTTTCCGATTCCTACTTATACTCTTACCAGCTCTACCACTACGGGATTTGAATCGACAACTGCATCTCTGTGCTAATGTGGTATGGCAACTCGAACTGATGTACGTACGTACGAAGTTCTACGTTGTTACTGACTGATTGACTGAACAATCCCCATTTGATTTCTGTTTATTTAGCTTTCAACTATATAAATATAACTAATTAATAAAAATATAATGATAATAATAATATAAATAAACTTAATAAGATCAACTATTAACATTATCAATGTTGATGTCATAGATTTACAAATATTTAACAACAATTATATTCAAATTAATTTATTATTTAGAATTTTGTTTTTCTGAACAGCATATGATTGATTGTCTTAAAATTTACAATAATCAAAATGAAAAAAAGGAAAACGAAAAAAATTCCAACATCGGTCATAAATTCTTTGAGCCAACAGTATTATCTATTTGATTTACAAAAGGTATTTACTTATTTACTTTATATAGTATGTACGCTATTCCATTAAATACTTCATATTATCATTCTTATATGATAAACAGATGAAAAAAATTCATTATATAAATAGATTCATATTATTCTACTACAAATATTTGTTTTTCTTTCTTATTTGATCCATATATATAATGATAAACTAATGAATACCCACTTATTAAGTAATTAGATAGTTTGATAATTATATATGAAACTGAGGTCGTCCATTTACGAAAAACTTCAAATTAGAATGAAACAGTGTTTAATTCAATACTTTATGATTTATTTTTTATTTTTCTGTTATTATTCAGAACGGTTTTTGTGGAGATTGTAGTTATTTCAATAGTTTAGATCATGAGTTAATTGAAGTTAGACCACTATGGAAAACCTGGAAGCACTGGATGACCGTTTCATCCTGTTGTGGGACTCTTCAGCAGTGCGTATCCATGATCTCGCTAACGGGATTCGAACCCAGGACCTGTCAGTCTCGCGCTTAATCACCAGACCACTGAGCCGACATCCAATGGTGTTATTATTCAGTAATCAAAACTTTATTAAAATTACACACATCTTTGAAACGATGTTATTTATTCAGAGTGTACAATCATGTTTGTAGTTGTTTTCTAAGCAGTTGCCCATAATAAAATCATTAACAAGATAAGATTAATAAAAGTTAACCAAAAATATGTTTGCTGTTGAATCTAAGTTACGTAATAACTGTATAGTTATAAGGAAGTGAAATTGAAATAAAATATGGAAGAAAGAAACAGAAGACAATTGTTAAGTACAGAGAACATAAAGAAACGACAAACATGTAGTAGAAACAACTTATAAAGTTAGAAGGATAGTCAGTACCGTGATAAAATAATGGACAGAATATATCACATCTGATCAGGCTTAAATCGGTAAATTACCATTTTCTTATTAACCCTTCGTTATTGCATAACTTCAACACTTAAAATAGAAAGTCGATGGACCATTAACAAGGCTTCTAAAAACTAATCAAGCATATTTCTGTCAAAGACTACCAAATCTAAACAATGATTATAAATACGATCATACAGCTTTAGTAAATGAAATCGTCGAAAGGAAAATTCTCTTCGTCAAATTGTCTTTATTGTGTTTCATGAAGCAATGGCTTTCTTTAACTGTAGATATAATATTAATCATTAAAACCAAAAGCTTCGAACACTATACAATCCTAACTATCCCTTGCTTATAATCATTAAATATAGAATGATGTAATATTTACAAGTTGGTTTTTTTTTCATTGAAAAAGTGGAATTCATTAAATGTTTGAGTGTAACTAGAAGGAAATGATTAAATAAGTCTTTATATTAGTTGTGGTTCATCAAAAGTGATGGTCTAGAGTCAAATAAAATATCTTCAAAATTTTCCTTTAGCTTTATTTATCAGTGTGGCAAGAAACCTCGTCCAGATGTGAGATAGATGACTGAATAACAGAGATTATCTAAAGTCAGTAATAAATGAATTCCGAACCAAAAGCTAAATAGCAAAATATAAGGATCATAGATGATCCCATGGTCTTGCAAAGAAATAGCTCTGCAGTAATTACCAATATTGAACTAGGACTAAACATCTATGTTTAATATTTATTTCCTGGTTTTTAATTAATTTCATTCTAATAAGAAAAGCTATTTTGAAAGAAACCGAAAAAAATAGAAATTTCATTGGTTTTTTAAAATACTTCTTAATATTGTTTTCCCTAATTGAAGTAACCAATCAAAATATCGTTTGTTAATGGAATGCAAGAGAAAGTCTCAACTGTTACCCAGTTGCTACCATAGTAATTAGTACAATGTAATAGTTCAAGGTTAAAAAAATATAAGCCAGTAATAAACAGGTCACTAAACTTATTTGTAAAATTCGCAAAAACATGAATCGATTTTCATTTTATGTCAACAACAACAACAACAATTCTGCTAAGTTAAATAAGACTAGCTAACATTAGAACAAAAAATCCAATTAGTTAATAGGATGAATGATGAGAACTGACTGCAATAAAACTCCATAATAATGATAATAATGTCTCCCGTTTAAAGGAAAAAACGATTTATATAAGTGTGGCATATAATTGTCGAAGAGACCCAGAAACTTTCCCGAAAAAAAGCAAAAATGGGCTCTGAAAACGCCGAGAAGCATCTTATCTAATCAACATTCAGTAAGAGTTTGGCCAGAAAAATCTAGAAAGTGAAAAGTCACACGTCGAGTTTCTGACTGGAAGATTACCTATACTGCTACTATGTTTAGCAGCATTCCAGAAATTTCCGGAAGCCAAAGGCCATCTTAAATAATATAAATAC